AATACAAGTGTATCATCTGCAGGCTTTATGTCAGTGTTTGTTGACCACAGTATTTTGAAGCTCCCTTTGTGTTGTAAGATGCATCAGTACTTTCTTTATTGCAAAAAATATTCAATTGTGTTGATGTACCACCTCTTACTTGTGATAGACATTGGGTTGTTTTTACATTTTAGCTATCATAAATACTGCTGCTATAAATATTCATGTATACACCTTTTATGTGTGAACCTGTTGCCATTTTTCTTGAAGATCTACCCACTTAGGAGAGAAACTGCTAGAGTATATGGCAACTCTATATTTAAGTTTCTGCAGCATTACTAGACTCATCTCCAAAGTGGTTGTATAATTTTTATTATAAATTTTCAATTACATTTGTGTGTGTGCATGCCATAGTACACAGGGAGGTCAGAGGACAATTTGAGGGAAGTTTCTTCTCAAAATCCCATATGGGTCTAGGGATTGCATTCAGGTTGTCAGGCTTAGTACCAAGCACTTTTATCTGCTGAGACATCTCATTTGCCCCTATTTTACACTTCTCAGAGCAGTGGATGAAGGTTCCAATTTCTCCATATCTTCAGCAACACTTTTTATCTGTTTTGATTACTGTTATTCTGGAGTGGTTGAAGTGGTTCTTAGAGTTATTTAGGTCCACATTTCTCTACTGATTGATGATGAACAGCATCTGTTCACATACTTAGTGTTTATTTATACATATTATTTAAAAAAATCAATTCAAATCCTCTAGCCACTTTTAAATTTTTTTGAGCTTTTATTTATGTGTTGAGTGTCTTTGCCTGCATTTATGTCTGTGTACTATATGTATACTGTGTCCATAGGGTCCAGAGGAAGGTGTCAGATTGGCTGAAACTAAAGTTAGAGATGGTTGTTAGCTACCATATGGGTGCTAAGAATTGAATTCAGGTCCTCAGGAAGAGCAACAAGTGCTATTAAATACTGATTCATCTTTCCAGTCAACTCCAGCCATTTTAAAGGAGGCTATTAGTTTTTTCTTTTCTCTTTCTCATTTGTTTTGAGATAGGGTCTTCATATAGCCTCAAACATGAGACCCCCATATTTTTATCTTCCAACTACTAGGTTTAGAAGCATGTACTACCCCACCACATCTGACTTTATTATGTTGTTATTTTTCTAAATAACAAGTTGTGGTAATTCTTTATACTAGATACAAATTGTTTATATATGATTTACAAATACTTTATTTTATATCTATAGGTTGCTTTTACACACACACGACAGAAATACATACATGCGTAATACATATATACATACATACATACATACATATGAGAGAGAGAGCAAGCAGCATTTTAATGGGGTTTCATGGGTTAGCAGCGAATTTGCTAATATTTGAGGATGACCCTCAACTCTGGATCCTCCTACATACACTTCCCAAGTGCAAGGATCACAAATGGACATCATATTGTACATAGATTATCTTTTACTTTCTTGAATGGGTCCTTGGAAACATAAATGTTAATTTTGGTAAATACCAATTAATACTTTTTCTTTAGCTGTTTATGCTTTTGGTATTATATCCAAGAGAACTTTCCCTCCTATTTTATTTTTCTTCCTTCCTTCTCTTCTCTTTTTCTTTTTTTTGAGAAAAGATCCTCATATATCCTAATAATCATATTGAACTCACTGTACAGTTGAGCCTAGCCTTGAACTCCCAATCCTCTTGTCTCCATCTCGCAAGTGTGGGGATTACAGTTGTGCTCTACCACCTACACCCTCTATGTTCCCTCTCAGCCTTGTCTCTCTTTCCCTCTTCCCCCTTTCTTTCTCAGACAGGGCCTTGCTATGTATTCCAGGTAGCCTCTAATTCATAATCCTTCTACCTCTGCCTCCTATTTTCTTGCTGCCTTATGTCTAAATTTTTAGGTTAAAAACTGGGTATTCCAGACCCAAAAAGATGAACATGGGATGTACTCACTCATAATTGGTTTCTAGCCATAAATAAAGGTCAGTGAGTCTATAATTTGATATCCTAAAGAAGCTAAATAAGAAGGTGAACCCAAAGAAAAACATATAGCTATCCTCCTGGGTAGGGGAAGTAGACAAGATTGCCAGGCAAAAAATCGGGATCTTAAGGGTGGGTGGGAGGGGGGTAAGGGGAGATGGGGAGAGAAAAGTGAGAAGGGTAGGATGGGGAGAACTTGGGGCAATGGGATGATTGGGATAAAGAAAGGTTGGATAGGGGAGCAGGGAAGCACATATCTTAATTAAGGGAGCCATCTTAGGGTTGGGAAGAGACTTGGACATAGAGGGGCTTCCAGGTGCCCAACGCGAGGTCCCCAGTTAGTTCCTGGGGCAGCTGAAGATAGGGAACCTGAAATGATCCTATCCTATAGCCATACTGATGAATATTTTGCATATCACCATAGAACCTTCATCTGGCGATGGATGGAGATAAAGACAGGGACCCACACTGGAGCACTGGACTGAGCTCCCAAAGTCCCAATGAGGAACAGAAGGAGGGAGAACATGAGCAAGGAAGTCAGGACCAAGAGGGGTGCACCCACCCACGGAGACAGTGGGGCTGATCTACTGGGAGCTCACCAAGGCCAGCTGGACTGTGACTGAAAAAGCAGGGGATAAAACCGGACTCTCTGAATATGGCGGACAATGAGGGCTGCTGAGAAGCCAAGGACAATGGCACTGGGTTTTGATCCTACTACATGTTCTGGCTTTGTGGGAGCCTAGCCAGTTTGGATGTTCACCTTCCTAGACCAGGACGGAGGCGGGAGGACTTTGGACTTTCCACAGGGCAGGGAACTCTGACTGCTCTTCAGACTTGAGAGGGAGGGGGAGAGGAGTAGGGGGAGGGGGAGAAGAGTGGGGGGACGGGGAGAGGAGTGGGGGGAGGGGGGGGAGGAGTGGGAGGTTGGGAGGAGGCGGAAATTTTTTTTTCTCAATAAAAAAACTGGGTATTGTTATAGAGTGTGTTTATAGATCCTGATACCCTCCTCTCTGGGGATTGTTTTTGTTTATTTAGGGATTTGACTAAACTATTTCAGTAAAATCTATTTCCCCATGGCATGTAGCATCTGGTAATCCTCAGAAGATACAGCCTTGGCAACATGCATTGTCACACTTAGAAGACAATGTTGCTACTGGGAAGAGGAGCTAGTTAACTATCTTTTTCAAAGATCTGGTAAACATCTTGCTCTGTTGGTATAAAGCTAATCCCCCACCGACTTCAACTGACCATTCTATTGTTTTGTAGAATCCCCAAACATAAACTGCTCCATTGTTTTAAACAATTAAACTCAGGCCCTTTCTGGTACAATCTTTAAGTCAAGTCTATGATACTTGTTCTAACACCTAGAAGCACTCCTTAGTGTTCTTTGGATTTGTTAAAGTTCTAGCTAATCTGTCTTTTAGTTTCTTGCTGTTACTGAACAATTAATTTCATCTTAATTATTTAGACATGTTTTTCAGAAGACTTACTTTGATGTGTGTGGGTTTTGCCAGCATGGGTGCACAATATGCATGTAGTGCCTGTGGAGGCCAGGAGAAGGCATCGAATCTCCTCGAATTGGAGTTACAGATGGGTGTGAGCCATCACGTAGGTGCTAAGAATTGAGTCAGATCCTCTGGAAGAAGGGAGCTCAGACTGGACAGCTCTCCTCTCGACAGCTCTCCTCTCGGGAGCAGACGTCTCAGAGAGATGCCATGCTCCGCTCTCCCAGGCAGACGCGATTGATGAAGCTCCGACCCAGGATGGACGTAGGCTAGAATCTTCCCGGTAAGACCGGTGCTCACAGATTATTAGAGATGGGTTGATCGGGATATCAGAATTAGCCAGTAAGGGCTAGAGCTAAAGGGCCAAGCAGTGTTTAAATGAATACAATTTATGTGTTGTTATTTTGGGGCATAAGCTAGCCAGGCTGCTGGGGTGCTGGGGACGCAGCCCCGCCGCTCCTATTACTACAGTTGGGGGTGTCTATGACTCTTTTGCCTGCTCTGGGACCTATTTCCTCCTACTGGGTTGCCTCATCAAGTCTTGATATGACTTATGCCTTATTTCATCTTGTTATGCTGAGTTCAGTTGATATCTATTAAACTTCTAATAAGTATAATGCTTTTTAGGTATATTTATGCTTTTGTATGGGTTCATTCTTATATGTTGAACAATATTACCTTTCATGGACATACTATAATTTGTTTACTCATTTACCTATTTACGGACATTTAGATTATTTGAGGTTTAGGAGATTATGAACAGAATAAAAATTTCCTATTAGCCTAAAGGAAAAACGTATTTCTGAAGTGTCTAACACAACATTTTATGCAGGAAAATATTATAGATGATGACTTAATATGAACCTACTTCATATGGTATTTTAAAAGGAAAACACTTTTGTGTAATAGATTCTAAATCAATATACCAACAATAAACACATAAATAAGTTTTATATACAGCCAAGTGGCCTATAACATCACTCAGTAATCATGCTTTCTTCTTAATATTTCAATTAAAATAAGTCCATAAGTGTCTGGGGATATAGACAGATCAGTTGGAAGAATCCTTGCCTAAGGCTCAAATCCTAGCACCACATAAAACTGGTCATAGTAGCTCAAACACACTCAGGCAGCAGAGGCAGAAGAATCATAAGTTTAAGATCACCTTCATGTAGTGAGTTCAGGACCAGCCTGGACTAGAGATGCTCTGATTAAATATATTAAATTAAAATATATAATATATTTATATATAAAATATATAATAAAATGACTACAATTTAGTCTTAGATTGCCAAGTACACACCATAGAATATGGAATTTGAAAAAAATGAAAGCACCACATCTGGACCCTCTTCATCTCTAACACATTGGTAAGAGGGCAAGCAGGGGAATGTGGATCTTAGTAAAGAAATTGAAAGTGCTTTTGTAAGGAGCCCATTATAAGAGGAAATGGGTTATTCAGTATATTAAAAATAAAAACCATTCTTTAAGTTCATTCTAAAATAAATACTTACAGCAGTTTTATATGCAGCTTCAATGTAAAACACAAGGTTCTGTATAAAATTGACTTCATCTAGGCTGTGGATGATATGCAATCCTAAGGAAAAAAGATAAAGAGTTGGCCAGTTATCACTTCAGGGCCTCAGAAGTGGAGGTGAATTAGTGGACTCAGCTTAAATCAACTTCACTTCAATTGACTTGTTCCTACCTGTCCAGCATAACTGGCTTATATTGTTCTTCCCCATATGTTTACAAACATTTTTACTGAGATAGTCTATCGTACAGCTCATTGATACCAAGTATATAGTATAATAGTCTTTTATTGTGTGTACAGTATATATCTATCACTACAATCAAATTTGGGATATGTTCATCACCAAAAAAGTAATTATTTACTCACTAGACATTCATATAAATACAAGTGTATCATCTGCAGGCTTTATGTCAGTGTTTGTTGACCACAGTATTTTGAAGCTCCCTTTGTGTTGTAAGATGCATCAGTACTTTCTTTATTGCAAAAAATATTCAATTGTGTTGATGTACCACCTCTTACTTGTGATAGACATTGGGTTGTTTTTACATTTTAGCTATCATAAATACTGCTGCTATAAATATTCATGTATACACCTTTTATGTGTGAACCTGTTGCCATTTTTCTTGAAGATCTACCCACTTAGGAGAGAAACTGCTAGAGTATATGGCAACTCTATATTTAAGTTTCTGCAGCATTACTAGACTCATCTCCAAAGTGGTTGTATAATTTTTATTATAAATTTTCAATTACATTTGTGTGTGTGCATGCCATAGTACACAGGGAGGTCAGAGGACAATTTGAGGGAAGTTTCTTCTCAAAATCCCATATGGGTCTAGGGATTGCATTCAGGTTGTCAGGCTTAGTACCAAGCACTTTTATCTGCTGAGACATCTCATTTGCCCCTATTTTACACTTCTCAGAGCAGTGGATGAAGGTTCCAATTTCTCCATATCTTCAGCAACACTTTTTATCTGTTTTGATTACTGTTATTCTGGAGTGGTTGAAGTGGTTCTTAGAGTTATTTAGGTCCACATTTCTCTACTGATTGATGATGAACAGCATCTGTTCACATACTTAGTGTTTATTTATACATATTATTTAAAAAAATCAATTCAAATCCTCTAGCCACTTTTAAATTTTTTTGAGCTTTTATTTATGTGTTGAGTGTCTTTGCCTGCATTTATGTCTGTGTACTATATGTATACTGTGTCCATAGGGTCCAGAGGAAGGTGTCAGATTGGCTGAAACTAAAGTTAGAGATGGTTGTTAGCTACCATATGGGTGCTAAGAATTGAATTCAGGTCCTCAGGAAGAGCAACAAGTGCTATTAAATACTGATTCATCTTTCCAGTCAACTCCAGCCATTTTAAAGGAGGCTATTAGTTTTTTCTTTTCTCTTTCTCATTTGTTTTGAGATAGGGTCTTCATATAGCCTCAAACATGAGACCCCCATATTTTTATCTTCCAACTACTAGGTTTAGAAGCATGTACTACCCCACCACATCTGACTTTATTATGTTGTTATTTTTCTAAATAACAAGTTGTGGTAATTCTTTATACTAGATACAAATTGTTTATATATGATTTACAAATACTTTATTTTATATCTATAGGTTGCTTTTACACACACACGACAGAAATACATACATGCGTAATACATATATACATACATACATACATACATATGAGAGAGAGAGCAAGCAGCATTTTAATGGGGTTTCATGGGTTAGCAGCGAATTTGCTAATATTTGAGGATGACCCTCAACTCTGGATCCTCCTACATACACTTCCCAAGTGCAAGGATCACAAATGGACATCATATTGTACATAGATTATCTTTTACTTTCTTGAATGGGTCCTTGGAAACATAAATGTTAATTTTGGTAAATACCAATTAATACTTTTTCTTTAGCTGTTTATGCTTTTGGTATTATATCCAAGAGAACTTTCCCTCCTATTTTATTTTTCTTCCTTCCTTCTCTTCTCTTTTTCTTTTTTTTGAGAAAAGATCCTCATATATCCTAATAATCATATTGAACTCACTGTACAGTTGAGCCTAGCCTTGAACTCCCAATCCTCTTGTCTCCATCTCGCAAGTGTGGGGATTACAGTTGTGCTCTACCACCTACACCCTCTATGTTCCCTCTCAGCCTTGTCTCTCTTTCCCTCTTCCCCCTTTCTTTCTCAGACAGGGCCTTGCTATGTATTCCAGGTAGCCTCTAATTCATAATCCTTCTACCTCTGCCTCCTATTTTCTTGCTGCCTTATGTCTAAATTTTTAGGTTAAAAACTGGGTATTCCAGACCCAAAAAGATGAACATGGGATGTACTCACTCATAATTGGTTTCTAGCCATAAATAAAGGTCAGTGAGTCTATAATTTGATATCCTAAAGAAGCTAAATAAGAAGGTGAACCCAAAGAAAAACATATAGCTATCCTCCTGGGTAGGGGAAGTAGACAAGATTGCCAGGCAAAAAATCGGGATCTTAAGGGTGGGTGGGAGGGGGGTAAGGGGAGATGGGGAGAGAAAAGTGAGAAGGGTAGGATGGGGAGAACTTGGGGCAATGGGATGATTGGGATAAAGAAAGGTTGGATAGGGGAGCAGGGAAGCACATATCTTAATTAAGGGAGCCATCTTAGGGTTGGGAAGAGACTTGGACATAGAGGGGCTTCCAGGTGCCCAACGCGAGGTCCCCAGTTAGTTCCTGGGGCAGCTGAAGATAGGGAACCTGAAATGATCCTATCCTATAGCCATACTGATGAATATTTTGCATATCACCATAGAACCTTCATCTGGCGATGGATGGAGATAAAGACAGGGACCCACACTGGAGCACTGGACTGAGCTCCCAAAGTCCCAATGAGGAACAGAAGGAGGGAGAACATGAGCAAGGAAGTCAGGACCAAGAGGGGTGCACCCACCCACGGAGACAGTGGGGCTGATCTACTGGGAGCTCACCAAGGCCAGCTGGACTGTGACTGAAAAAGCAGGGGATAAAACCGGACTCTCTGAATATGGCGGACAATGAGGGCTGCTGAGAAGCCAAGGACAATGGCACTGGGTTTTGATCCTACTACATGTTCTGGCTTTGTGGGAGCCTAGCCAGTTTGGATGTTCACCTTCCTAGACCAGGACGGAGGCGGGAGGACTTTGGACTTTCCACAGGGCAGGGAACTCTGACTGCTCTTCAGACTTGAGAGGGAGGGGGAGAGGAGTAGGGGGAGGGGGAGAAGAGTGGGGGGACGGGGAGAGGAGTGGGGGGAGGGGGGGGAGGAGTGGGAGGTTGGGAGGAGGCGGAAATTTTTTTTTCTCAATAAAAAAACTGGGTATTGTTATAGAGTGTGTTTATAGATCCTGATACCCTCCTCTCTGGGGATTGTTTTTGTTTATTTAGGGATTTGACTAAACTATTTCAGTAAAATCTATTTCCCCATGGCATGTAGCATCTGGTAATCCTCAGAAGATACAGCCTTGGCAACATGCATTGTCACACTTAGAAGACAATGTTGCTACTGGGAAGAGGAGCTAGTTAACTATCTTTTTCAAAGATCTGGTAAACATCTTGCTCTGTTGGTATAAAGCTAATCCCCCACCGACTTCAACTGACCATTCTATTGTTTTGTAGAATCCCCAAACATAAACTGCTCCATTGTTTTAAACAATTAAACTCAGGCCCTTTCTGGTACAATCTTTAAGTCAAGTCTATGATACTTGTTCTAACACCTAGAAGCACTCCTTAGTGTTCTTTGGATTTGTTAAAGTTCTAGCTAATCTGTCTTTTAGTTTCTTGCTGTTACTGAACAATTAATTTCATCTTAATTATTTAGACATGTTTTTCAGAAGACTTACTTTGATGTGTGTGGGTTTTGCCAGCATGGGTGCACAATATGCATGTAGTGCCTGTGGAGGCCAGGAGAAGGCATCGAATCTCCTCGAATTGGAGTTACAGATGGGTGTGAGCCATCACGTAGGTGCTAAGAATTGAGTCAGATCCTCTGGAAGAAGGGAGCTCAGACTGGACAGCTCTCCTCTCGACAGCTCTCCTCTCGGGAGCAGACGTCTCAGAGAGATGCCATGCTCCGCTCTCCCAGGCAGACGCGATTGATGAAGCTCCGACCCAGGATGGACGTAGGCTAGAATCTTCCCGGTAAGACCGGTGCTCACAGATTATTAGAGATGGGTTGATCGGGATATCAGAATTAGCCAGTAAGGGCTAGAGCTAAAGGGCCAAGCAGTGTTTAAATGAATACAATTTATGTGTTGTTATTTTGGGGCATAAGCTAGCCAGGCTGCTGGGGTGCTGGGGACGCAGCCCCGCCGCTCCTATTACTACAGTTGGGGGTGTCTATGACTCTTTTGCCTGCTCTGGGACCTATTTCCTCCTACTGGGTTGCCTCATCAAGTCTTGATATGACTTATGCCTTATTTCATCTTGTTATGCTGAGTTCAGTTGATATCTATTAAACTTCTAATAAGTATAATGCTTTTTAGGTATATTTATGCTTTTGTATGGGTTCATTCTTATATGTTGAACAATATTACCTTTCATGGACATACTATAATTTGTTTACTCATTTACCTATTTACGGACATTTAGATTATTTGAGGTTTAGGAGATTATGAACAGAATAAAAATTTCCTATTAGCCTAAAGGAAAAACGTATTTCTGAAGTGTCTAACACAACATTTTATGCAGGAAAATATTATAGATGATGACTTAATATGAACCTACTTCATATGGTATTTTAAAAGGAAAACACTTTTGTGTAATAGATTCTAAATCAATATACCAACAATAAACACATAAATAAGTTTTATATACAGCCAAGTGGCCTATAACATCACTCAGTAATCATGCTTTCTTCTTAATATTTCAATTAAAATAAGTCCATAAGTGTCTGGGGATATAGACAGATCAGTTGGAAGAATCCTTGCTTAACTGCTGAGTTGTCTGTCTAGCCCTTCATCTTAATTACTAAGAAACAAAATCTGCATTGAAGTCTCCTAAACTTTCTTAAAAAAGTTAATTTTCTTAAGAAGAGCTAAAGGGCTTTGCTTTTACAGTTTGTTTCTATCCTCCATGAGCATTTCTGTGCCAGTGCTCCAGCATTGATGGTAAGCACAACAGTCCATTTCCTTTGCAATGGCACTTCTGTTTTCCATACTAAGCTCTGGACAGGAGTTGTAGCTTCTGATCATCCCAGCTTGCATATTCCAGTGTAGGATGGTTGACCCGATCAAGAGGTAGGTGACCTAGTATCTTACTCTGCTCTTCTAAGGTAGATCCTACTTCACTAGTGTCTGGGGGTATAGAGGACCCCAAAGCTGTACTTGCCTGAACTAGGGCTTCTGCAATACAGAGCTTGGGAGAATGATAAATGATGCCAGCCTATTTTCTGAAGGAGAATTAGGTACCTTAAATTAAACTAGAGCAACTGTAAATTGTGACCCCTTTGGGAAAACTCTAGCTCCAAAAATATTTACATTACAATTCATAATAGTAGCAGAATTACAGTTATGAAGTAGCAATAAAAATAATTTTATGGTTGGGTATTAAAGGGTCACAGCATTAGGCAAGTTGAAAACTACTGTTCTATAGCTTAGGAGAGAGGAGGCCTTGTGTTCTGGCTATAGCCATCTCAGTCAGTGCTTCTATTTTCCTGGGTTGGGATAGGAAAGGGATTGAGAACAGATACCACAGTATCTCACTGTTCTAAATAATTACATTTCCTAGAGTGTTTCTCAGCTTACTGTATGTCTTTTGGGAAATTGCCAATGGCTTCAAAGGGTTGGACTGTTCTTAAATTTTCAGCATTTTTGGCTGTTTTGCTGGAGTCTATGGAGCTCTTCATGCTATTGTTCTATAAGCTGCAATCAAATTCTATCTAAATCTATCTTCAAGAATTCAAAATACTGCAAATACTCTATTAAGATTTTCATATTCTTTTCACCAATTATATCTAACAGAATTCCTTTTTAATTTCAATTTAAATGCATTACTCAAAATTGGTATCATTTCTTGTCAAAGTATTTCACTAACCTTTTTACTAGTCCTCCATCTTAATTTTGTTCCTTATCCAATATACCTCATCCAATCTATCTTCTTGGTAGTAGAATGAACCACCTTAAAGTCCCCTGATTATCTACATTGAATGGTTCTCTATGGATTGCAGACTATAATTTCAAACTATTTAGCATGCTATACAAGTCCTCAAATAGCTAGTCCTAATCTTCTAGCTAGAAATCTACCCTTACCTTGATGACAAGTTTCTTTCAAACTTCTGTACTATATACTTATTATTAGTCCCTTCCCCTTCTGAAATGTAAATTTTGATTTATTAAAACTTTTTTCTCAAAGACTTAATCAAATAATATCTACTTTATTACAAGCACTTATCAAGGTCAGCTAATTGAATTGAAAATTAAGTTAGGAGTCAATAAACATTTGTTTAATGAATATATCTCATGAAGCTTTTTAATGTATCTCTCTTTCTATCTGGGAGAATCACATTTAGAACCATATTTAGTGCCTGCTTTGTTTTTTTTTTAAAGCTAGGCAGTGATAGAGAACACCTTTAATACCAGCACTCAGGAGGCAGAGGCAAGTGGATCTCTGAGTTTGAGGTCAGCTGGGTCTACAGAGAAAATTCCAGTACAGCCAGGGCTACACAGAGAAACTCTGTCTCAAAAAAAACCCACAAACCCCCAAAATACTGAAACAACAAAATAAACAGCTTCCAGAGTTGGCATTAAAATATCATCCAAAATGAAATTATAACTACCATTCTATTTAAAGAAATAGAACAAAATTATATTTATTCTGGAAGAAAGTTCTCATCTAAAAGAAGACTAGTTGGATAGTTAATTTATAGTTTCACAGAAAGGTTATTCAGACTCCAGGCCATGTGTTCTAGAAGAAAAATTAAAGAGTTTATCACCAAACACGTATTTGAAAAGAGAGAAGACTATTCTGAGGGGATTCACATTTTGGGTGCCTTTAGTACTGAGGAACTGGCCAAACAGGAAGACAAAGAAATTGAAATATCAAAAATACAGCGTTCAGGACTAAGCAAAAGGCTCAGCTGTAAAAGTACCCACTTTGCAATGATAAAGATTTGAGTCGTGATCTCCGGCAACCACGTAAAAGCTGGGAATGTCATGTACATCTGTAACTCTAGCTCTGGGGAAGGTGAGAGGGAGGCAGAGTCCCAGTGCTCACTGGTTATTCACTAGCTTTGGGTTCAGTGAGAGACCCTGTTTCAAAAGATAAAATGAAAAGCAATGGTAGAAGACACCTTGATATCAACTTCTGACCTCCACACACACAGGCAGACCCATGAACATGCACTTCTAGCCACATATGAACACACACACTACAGATACACACACAAGCATGGCACTAGCTCAATATGATGGAACACACCTATAATCTCATCTAATTGAGAGTCTGATAAAGGAAGATTATAAGTTTGAGTCTAGACTGGGCAACTTAGTGAAACTCTTTCTCTCAAAAAAATTTTAAAAGCTAGGATTTTAGCTTAGTGGCAGAGTGCTTCCCTAGCATGTGTGAGTCCCTCTGTCGAAACCCCAGCACCACAGTTAAAACACACACACACACACACACGGTACTGTGAATACATTAACTTATTCAGAATGCTGGAAATGTTCTTATTAAGTTTAGGAACTGGATATACTAGGATTACTTCCATTTTTAGTTTTACATCTATAAAGGAAACTATATTGTTTGTTTGTTTTGAGACAGGATCTCACTATATAGCTTTGACTGGCCTAGAAGTTGTTATATAGACCAGGGCTGGCCTGGAACTTACAACAATCCTTGGCATCTGCCTTCTAAGTGTTAGAATTATATACAAATGTGAGCTACTATATTACTTATAATTTTCTTCTACATATCAAACATTAAAATATAATTACAAATTATTTAAATAGAATATTGTTTAACAAAACATATATATTTAGATTCAAATCATACTCACAATGAGTATACAAAGTAGATGTTTCTATAGTTACACTAATCACAGGCATATTACTATAGTATGAAAATAAGAAAAAAACCTTCAACCTTCCCACCTATATCCTGGCATCTGAGAATTAATAAATAATAAAAATGCCTGTCTAAAGATCTAGTCAAGAATTTCATGTGCCTGTTTTTATAGAGTATTAATTAGATTCTCAATACAAATTTGTTTCTCAATAAAATAATATATTGCCTAGACCTCAAAAAACTTTTCTAGCTGTATAAAACTCACAAAATTCCATTATTTATAAGGTACTTATTTGAGTACTATAAAGAGATATTTTATTTTCTGGCCAATACCTACAGAGAAGCCAAAAGAACCAGAGCAGATGCTCCAAGCCCAGGGGCATGCAGTAATTCTCTCCTTGTACTGACCTGAGGCAGTCATTTGTGCTAGAAAGAGCAGGTACACAGAAGTAGCATCCAACTGCAGGTGTCCCCACTGGTCATCACCCACCACTGTGGCACAAGTTTTGGTGTTGTACTTGGCATGGAGGCTATCCTTAGTACTCTGACTATACTTGAAGGACTCTACTTTATCCACCTGAAGAGAAAAGAGCATAAGAAGGCTAGTTAGAAAGTCAGCCCATACGCTATGTATCTGTAGTGCTATGGCATATAGCACTGAACTCCACCTTCCCTAAGCATAACCCTGAGTGAATATTTAAGGTACATACTTATCTGTTTTCTGCTACACCATGTGCTACTTTTAATAAAAAACAACAAATGGTCAAAACAGCTATTTCCTGTCCATTGCCTTTCTTCTATGCTTTTCAAATGGTTGCTTTGTCATAATGTAGAGAAACTGGAAGTTCAAATGTATTAACACTTTAGTAAGATAACCCAGTGTTACACATTTGTTCCTGAAATTAAAGTAGAAATCTACAGATACATTGAAAGAGGATATTTTTATTTTATGTGTGTACATGGTAGTTTGTAAGTATGGATACCCCCAAAGGCCAGAAGAGGGCATGAAATTCCTTGGAGCTGAAGATACAGGCAGTTGTGAGCCGCCCAACATGGATGTTGGGAACCAAACTCAAACTCAGGTCCTCTGCAAGAGGTGCTCTTTGTTCAGGTCCTCTGCAAGAGCAATATGTGCTCTTAACCACTGAGCCATCTCTCTAAGTTTTGAAGATGCCATGAGAAGAGTTAATGAGAACCATACAGTCTCAGAGAAATAGTATTATAGAAAGCTGAAATAACAAATTAGAAGAAAACCATTGGGAGCTGGGGTATAAGTTTAGTGATAATGTGTTCTGAGGATGCATAAGGCCCTGGGTTCAATTTGTAACACACACACACACACACACACACACACACACGGGGCAGGGGGAGCCTTGTGAGTGAGCGAGCGGGGTGGGGTGGGGGAGTGCAAAAGTCCAGACAGGAAACCTTGGGTATAAGGCAATAGTTCTTGACCTAATTCCTGAAATGTAGTTGTTATTATTTATGCCTCTGATGTATAATAACCAGGACATCTTAAATATGTTCATTAAATTTGTGACTATACATACTCAATAAGATAGAAAGTATACATATCTGAAATACAAATGAAGCAGAAAAGACAGAGAGAAAAATGATATATGTGAACAAACTAGTAAAAAGATATATACAACAATTAATTGTATATATATTGAAAAGTCATTTGTAGATAAGTTTAGAAGTTGAGCATTGATTTCTTTCTACTTTCACAAAGTTAAGTCAGATTAAATATGTACATGTTTTAAGATCCTAGAATAAAGGTTTATTACTAAAAATGTTTGTGTGGAGAAAATGTCATAAACTCAAAACATAACTGTAAAAATATTTGCAATGTATGTGACAAATGATTAATATCCTTAATGTACAAGAACTCAGTAGGAGAAAAACAAATAAGCTGTCAACAAAAGGAGGTAAAGCTCTAGCAAGTAATTCACCAGTAAGGGACTGCAGATTTCCAATTCACATACAAAAGAATATTCAGCTACACTCAATGTCAGGGAATGCCAATTACTTCAAGTTCAAGATCCTTTGTCTCCAATTATAAAATTAAAAATACTTTGATTTTTTCTAATTACATTTTACATCATCAAATCTCATCTGGTGGAAACACTAAATTCAAATCAATATAGGGGTATGTATACGCTTTATTCCATTTACAGTAAAAGGAATGACTTCCTATCAAGAAATGTTTTTATATTGTAGAGTATTCTTCTCTTTCCACTGAATATATGAGAAATTATATGATACATGTACTTTGCTATCTTTTAAAAATCTAAAAATTTATTACTAAAACTGATCTGGACCTAAGAGTTTAAACAGTTCTAAACAATTATTTGTAAAAGGAGGAAAAATCCTGGAAGGGAATATTCCCATTGTAATAGGGTGGTGTAAGTCTCTGTGACATCCCCACCCGAGAGTTCCAAACTTTCTAAAATTAGAGTGTACTATTTGTGAATCTGAAAAAAGGCTATAGGCATTATTGGGAAGTTGTTAGGATACTGTCTTGTTATGCGTTGTTACCATTGCCATACCTGTCTGATCATGCAGTGCAGCAGTCCCCTCATTAACTTCACTACACTCTGCAGAAATAAATGGAAACAAGGCTGTTATAAACATACTGAGCTACAAGAACACTGACTCAGCAACTTCAGTCGGTACATGACCTTTGGAGAACAAGTAACCCTATCCTGGGTTCTAGTTACATGGCATTTACTTTATAGGTACACAGAACAGATTGCAGCTAAAAAATTAAATCAAAAGCCATAGGCTATGATTCCTTGGATTTAAATAATAATATAAGTTTGGAAGTTTTACCTAAAAATAAGGCAACCATCTAACAGGGGAGATGAAACAGCTAGAGAAAAGGAACACGTCAACTTACATGGTATATACCCTACAGTCTCCATAGCATCTTTGAATTTTTTTCATTTTATTTTTTAAAGATTTTTTTCATTTTATATGTATGGGTGTTTTGATTATTTGTATATATACAGATCATATGCATGCCTGGCATAAGTAGTGAATATGTTTTAGAACATATCAGCATAGAATAGCTTCTCCAATTCTCTACAAAGCTTTCTGTTTCACAATCTAGAAGACCTTAAATTGGCCTTGTGTCCCACAGATCATACTATGAGCAATTTTTAAAGTAATACTGTGAGGGTGCCCATAAAATGAGGACACCTTTAAGAGAAAGAGTGACAATTCACTACTGTTTGGTCTAGTACTGGTTTGGTTTTACTTGGAAAGGTGGGTTTTCAAGCACACAGAGTTTGAAGAGCCACAGAATACACAGAGAAAACTATTAAGACAAATGAAAACTGGAGTTTGGATCACAAGTAAGATCAGAGTCAAAGGAACAGATTTGCATAGAGGCAATAGAAAAGCCATGAAAAAAAAGATGAGAGAGGAAACAAGAGAATAAAATAATCAGAAGTGGAAGCAGTCAAAGAGAGACCTTGATTTACCTGAGTATTTATTTTTATAGCTATGATATTATATCTATATGCCCAAGAAAGGGGACATTTGTAAAAGCATACCTATGAATAATTCCAATATAGAATATAGAAGTTAGTTAAACCTATTTCTTCTCATCCACAATTCTCGTCTATTCTCAAATTTTATGAGAGAGAAGCTAAAATAACAGTTGAAACAAAGAGTATAAATGATTAACACGGTTTTGGGGAAAATCTATACAGTAATGTTAAGTTGGCAGTAGGTAGAAATTTAACCCATGGATATACTGGATTTAATCTATGTTCATTTACTAGTTACAGGTCAGTTATTATCTAGGCACATTATTAGATCTGTCTATATTAGAATCTCAAATTGTTTTAAAGTAAGGTCCAGTAAGGATATCTCTGAAAAGCTTTCCAAGCAATTCCAACGTATGGCCAGAGTTTAGATTACTCATCTGGGCCAGGGACAAATCCAACCCATCACTGTTTCTGTCTATACAGTTATTGGAATATTGCCATGCTAATTCTTTACATATTATCTTTGGTTCTTTTCTGTTATACCTACAGAGCAGAGTAATTAGAGACAAGTGAACTATATGCCAAACATATTGACCATCTGACCCTTTACAAAGATGGGTGGGTTTCTAAATTAATGCTGACATAAGTTTTTAAAACATCAGACCTAATAATCAAATTTATTTTGATCCTTTAAACAAATTCATATAAAATTTAGTAATTCCCACAAAAGCTTTTCTATACTGAAACATTATAAAGTTACTAATAAGGTGATACAAAAATATTTTCAGGGGCAGAGCGGCGGCGCGGCCGGACGCACAGAGGCAGAGCGGCGGCGGCCAGACGCGGCGGAGCAACACCGCATACAGGAAGAGGCTTTCGGGGACCAGCGCAGCGGCAGACCCAAGCGGCGGGGACAGGCGTGCAATAAGGAGAGCAGATCGCCCTACTACAATTGAATCAAAGAGGTAGGCCTTTGGTTGGCCAGGTCACTGGCACAAGGGGAGCCTGGTCCTGTCCTGAAGATCCTTCGGAGGGGTGAGAGGGTTCTTGGCCTGCAGCAGGAACCACGAAAGAGAGTGAGGGCATTTTGTAAGCGGAGCCCTTGGCCAGCAGGGAAACCTGATCCGGTTTTTAAAGGACCCATTGGATAGGATCAATAGGAGGAGATGGGCAGGCGCCAAGGCAAGAATTCACCCAATAATCCGAAAAACAACATGAAAACATCAGAACCCAATGATCTTACAACAGAAGTATTTGAACAACCTAACACAGAAGAAGTGGAAAAAATTGACTTTATGAAGATAATAGAGTCCCTTAAACAACATGTAAAAAATGCCCTTATAGAAATGGATGAGAAGTATAACAAAAAGTTTGAAGAAATGAGTAAATACGTACATGATACCCTGGGAAACCAAGAAAAAACCATCAAACAGGTAATGGAAACAGTTCAAGAATTGAAAACTGAAATGAAGGCAAAGAAGAAAATACAAACTGAGGACCAGCTGGATATGGAAAATCTAGGCCAACGAGCAGAGTCTACAGAAACAAGCATAATCAATAGAATACAAGAGCTAGAAGAAAGACTCTCAGATGCTGAGGACACCATAGAGAAAATAAACGAACAGATCAAAGAAAACAGCAAAGCCAACAAATTCTCAACACAAAACATTCAGGAACTATGGGACACAATAAAAAAACCAAACCTAAGAATAATAGGAATAGAAGAAGGAGAAGAGTCACAGCTCAAAGGCCCAGAAAATATTTTCAACAAAATTATGGAAGAAAACTTTCCCAACTTAAAGAAAGATATTCATTTAAATATTCAAGAAGCATACAGAACACCAAACAGACTGGATCAAAGAAAAACATCTCCTCGCCATATAATAATCAAAACACAAAATATACAGGTTAAAGAAAGAATATTAAGAGCTGCAAAAGAAAAAGGGCAAGTAACTTATAAAGGTAAACCGATCAGACTTACACCTGACTTCTCGATGGAAACTATGAAAGCCAGAAGGTCCTGGATAGAGGTTCTGCAGAAGCTAAGAGACCATGGATGCAAACCCAAACTACTATACCCAGCCAAGCTATCGTTCATTATCAATGGAGAAAACAAGACATTCCAGGATAAGAACAAATTTAAACAATACGTAGCCACAAATCCAGCCCTACAGAAAGTAATAGAAGGAAAATCGCAACCCAAGGAATCCAACACTGCCAACACTGCCTACAATAACCCAGGCATCTAATGACCCTTCACGAGCACATCTCAAAGAAGGGAGACACACAATCTCTACTACCAAAAGCAAAAGGAATAACCGGAGTAAACAACCACTGGTCATTAATATCACTTAATATTAATGGGCTCAATTCACCTATAAAAAGGCACAGGCTAAAAGATTGGATACGAAAACAGGATCCAACATTCTGCTGTTTGCAAGAAACACATCTCAACCACAAAGACAGGCACCTACTCAGAGTAAAGGGTTGGGAAAAGGTGTTTCAAGCAAATGGTCCTAAGAAAAAAGCAGGTGTGGCCATACTAATTTCTAACAAAACTGACTTCAAACTAAAATCAATCAGAAGAGACCGAGACGGTCACTTTATACTCATAACAGGAACAATTCATCAGGAGGACGTCTCAATCCTGAATATATACACCCCCAATATAAAAGCACCTACTTATGTAAAAGAAATATTACTAGAACTCAAGGCAGACATCAGACCACACACACTAGTAGTAGGAGACTTCAACACACCTCTCTCTCCAAGGGACAGGTCAATCAGACAGAAACCTAATAGAGAATTAAGAGAATTATTGGAGGTAATGAAGCAAATGGACTTAACAGACATCTATAGAACATTCCACCCAAATAGGAAAGAATATACCTTCTTCTCTGCAGCTCATGGAACCTTCTCAAAAATTGACCACATACTCGGAAACAAAGGAAACCTCCACAGATACAAAAAAATATCAGTGTCCACCTGTGTCTTATCAGATCATCACGGATTAAAGTTAGAAGGCAACAACCACGCTGCCCCCAAAAAACCGACAAACTCATGGAAACTGAACAGTCAACTACTGAACCACACCTGGGTCAAGGAAGAAATCAAGAAAGAAATTAAAGTCTTCCTTGAATTTAATGAAAATAAAGAGACAACATACTCAAACCTATGGGACACAATGAAAGCAGTGCTAAGAGGAAAGTTCATAGCACTAAGTGCCCACTTAAAGAAAACGGAGAATGCATACATTGGGGACTTAAAAACACACCTGAAAGCTCTAGGAAAAAAGAAGCAGACGCGCCCAGGAGAAGTAGAAGACTGGAAATAATAAAACTGAGGGCTGAAATCAACAAAATAGAAACACGGAAAACAGTCCAAAGAATCAATGAAACAAAAAGCTGGTTCTTGGAGAAAATCAACAAGATCAACAAACCCCTATCCAAACTAATTAAACGACAGAGAGAGAACACGCAAATAAATAAGATCAGAAATGAAAAGGGGGACATAACCACAGACACAGAGGAAATTCAGAGAATCATTAGATCTTACTACAAAAGCCTGTATGCCACAAAACTGGAAAATACAAAAGAAATGGACATTTTTTTAAATAAGTATCATATACCAAAGCTAAACCAAGACCAGGTGAATGATCTAAATAGACCGGTCTCTCGCGAAGAATTAGAAATGGTTATCAAAAATCTCCCTTCGAAAAAAAGCCCAGGACCAGATGGTTTCAATGCAGAATTCTACCAGAACTTCCAAGAAGAACTAATACCTATACTCCTTAATGTATTTCACAATATAGAATCAGAAGAGTCATTGCCAAATTCCTTTTATGAAGCTACAGTTACCCTGATACCAAAACCACAAAAAGACCCAACCAAGAAAGAGAATTACAGACCGATCTCACTCATGAACATCGACGCAAAAATTTTCAATAAAATACTGGCAAACCGAATCCAAGAACACATAAGAAAAATTATCCATTATGATCAAGTAGGCTTCATCCCAGAGATGCAGGGCTGGTTCAACATACGCAAATCTATCAATGTAATCCACCATATAAATAAACTGAAAGAAAAAAACCACATGATCAT